ATTCATAGTGGTTATAAGGAACTGCCCTTATTCCTAATTTCAATGGAAATGACTATAATGTTTCTCTTTAAACCTGATGATAGTTTAGAATTAGGTCAGTATAAAATAAGATCCTTCTAGTTCTATTTAAAACGATAGAATAAATTTTGTGAGTATAGATATGGGGTGGGGGGTGGGGGGTGCACCAAGACAGAAAAACATTTTTAATTAAAAATTTTTTAATTTAAAAGTTAAAAAATGAATGGTGTATTTTATGTCAACTACTTTTTCAGTGGTGAATTACAATAACATTTCCTAAGAGTGAACCATCCTTGCAATTCCAATGTAAACTATACTTTACTGTATGTTTTGTACATACTGATGGAATTTTGCATCTCTGCCAGGGGGCAGGAGTAGACCATCTTAATCAGGTTTTACTACTTATGTGGTGACAGTTTTGTAAAATACATTGAGAATTATTTTTTTCTCTTTGAAAACATTGTAAGAAAAGCATTTGAATTTTATTTCTCCTTTATTTCCTCTTCTACCTACTGTTGTTTCTGTCTTGGTGCACCCCACTCTCCACCCAATATCTACACACAAAAAAATTATCTGTTTCTTTACAGTTTGAAAAACTTCCAGTGGAATTGAGCCACAGTGGAGCTGAGCCAGAAATTCAGTGTTCTTTCTTAAGATTTTTTTAAAATTTACATTTCTTTTTTAATTGAAATTGCTTTAAGGTGGCATTTATCCATAAAGCTTATTACCATGGAGTTTATCCATAGCATTCTCTAATAGTCTGTGGTCGTATAATTTTTTCATGGCTAATGTATATTTTTGCCTCCTGGCTCTTTTTTTCATCTTTGCCTGTATTGTTTTTTTAATTGTTTGGATTTTTTCTCCCAGGAGTCTACTCTTGGTTTTACCTAAAAGTTTTTATTCTGATTTTCATTTCCTAGTTCTTTAATTCAGCTTTTCTCGTCATTAGTGCCTTCCTTTGGTGAATATAAGTGATAACTACAAATTATAGACCTCTTTGCTGCTCCTTATACATAGGTATTTGTTTGCAAGTAGACATAGTAGTTGAATGAAGTCACATGGAAGAGCTGAAAACCCGTGAGATTGAGTAACAGTTTTTTTCAGCTTTTAGTTATCTTTGTTATTTGGTTATCCAGATATAATGGAATATATATTACTGCAAATAATGTGCTTAGTGGCCTACAAGTTCACCTCTCCCTAATATCCCAGCAGTACCCATTTCAAAACCCACCAACTTATTTGAAGATACTATTAAGAAAAGTATTTCCTTCTTACATTTAATTTACTTGCAGTTTTATTGTCTTTTATACCTTTGATAGTTAAGATTAATTCTTAATCACTAACATTTTGCTTTAGCCTAAGCATTCATTTGTAGAGGATTTTTGGCAATAATTTAAAAGTAACCTAAAGTTGTCTATTGGTTGTGGATTTTTTAATATATTAATTGAAGATAATACACACAGAGAAGGAATTTAGTGTCTGCTGCTCAGGCATCTTAAAATGGAGTACTTTGCTTTGTTAACTTTGAGTGCTACCTGCTGGCTGAGGACAGGGACATGATGATGCCTTCTTGAGGCTATTAGGACACTGGTAAAATGGTTTGGCAAATTATATACTTATATCCCAATTAAACAGGCAGCCATCCAATTTGTGCAACCAAACCAAACCAAACCAAACTTCCTATAATATAAAATGGCTTTTTTTCTGTTTCCGAAATTGCTCTTTAGTTGTCTCAAGTATCCATTTCACTTTTTTAGGTACCATATGGACTGTGGACTTCCCTGTGTAATTCTGGTGATGCTATCACAGGGTTTCTCAACCATGACCCTTTTTCAGATTTTTTTTTTTTTGTATACCTGGCCTCTACGCATTAGATAGTAGGAACACTCCTCAGTTGTGACAACCAAAAATGCCCCTGGGCCACAACATCTCCCCTGTTTGAGAATCAATATATTATCATAAATCCTTATAATCTGGTAGTTTCTGACCTGATGTTAACAGGCATAAATTAAAATACATCCATCTACTGTGGCCACAGACAAATAATACTATAAACAGTTTATCAAATAAAAAGGTACACAAAGTTCATCTACAAATTAGGGGAATATTGGAGGGAAAATAAGGGACAAAAATTTCAGAACCACTATACTGTTTTATTTGTGTTTTAGATTTTTGAATGAGATAATTGAAAGGGATTGGTAAATTTATAGCAAATGGAAAACTCTACAAGTTCTTAATAGGCCAAGGTCTATGGCATATATAATATAGTCCCACTTAGAAAAAGAGTTATGAAACATTAAAATCTTTAGAACAATAAAGAAACCTTACAAATAATTTTCTTAACACTCTCCTGCTTCATTATCCCTGTTACATAGTTAAAAGAATGAATCAGGAAGTATTCAAATAAAAACACAGGGCAGCAAGTGTAAGCACAAATAGGAAAAGCCCAAACCACTCAGACTTGGTAATTTGACAATTTTGATTTCATGTCTGATTAGTAAGATGGTTTATAGAATTTAAAAATTTTCTTCTAAAATTTAACAAAATTGGAACTTTACTTTCTCATTATTATTATTATTACTAATTTCTATAAAAATTGCTTTTCATACTTTTAAAATATAAATATCAGCTTCTTTTGTTATTGTTTTGTTTTCCTCCATACACAGAGGTGTTATAGCTTTATCACTTGCAGCCTTTTGTAACTAACCTCTTACAGTCAATAAGGCATAACATAAATGAATTTCAGATGAGAGGATCACCATAGTTTATTGAAGTTCCAACTCTGGTTGTTAATTAATAAGGTATCTACAAAATAAGTAACTAGTAAAAGCAGGAAAGAAACTTTTTTAACCTATTGAAAATAAATTTAAGTGACAGCACACTAACTTATATTGACGTACCACTTTATACTTTATAAGATGTTATTACCCTTCAATGTAATTTTCCAAGATAAAAAGCTGCCAAATAAGTTGCTTATATATAACCTATTTATGGACATGAACCTAGATCTCCTGACTAAACTAATTTTTTTATCACTATGCTATAGTGCCTTTACAACATACATGTTGTCAGTAAATTCTGCTTCAGGAAAATTTACATTAACCTTAGTGTGGGAAGACTAAAGACGGTTCTGAACAGAATCCAGAAAAATAATGAGTTTCATGTGTGGGCCTCTTTATCTGAAAAGAAAGATTGTATCATTTATATCTATTGGCCTAGTCTGAAAATTAAAGTTATCAGTAGGATTGATTTGGTGTTAATCAAGAAGAAAAATGTTACTTTTAGCAGGAGCTATGATCATATGTGAGCAAATGAGGTTTTCATCATCCATTTCCAAAGTAAAGAGGACATACTAACAGAATATTATGATTATAAAATCCATGTTAATTTTGGTGAATAGAAAATGAGGCAAGATAAATTGGTTTAAAATGTTGATGTTTGTTTTCTTTTTAATGTAGCTTTAAATTTTCTTTTTATCTTTTTAAAAGATTTACCATGTTTTTTTAATAAGGTAACCAGTAAAATAAAAATTTACTTACGGGCATAGAACAGGATGACTTTAATAACTTGATAACCAAATCTGAACTTCCTAGTCATTTTTTAATGACAGTTCCCATTTATTTTCACGGTTAATATAAAGTGAGTATTCTACCATTGCATTTTACAAGAGATGGTGATGGGCAACATTGGGCTTAAGAAAGTACGATACACTTTTGTTAAAATTTCATCACTATTACTCTAATTTAAATCCTGAGTTTGAACTAAGTTCTTTGATTATTAATTTATAATGAAGGCGATTTATATGAAAATGTTATACTTTAAATACAAAATTGATAGCACATCATGTATGGCTTTAGCCTGAATATATAGTGATGATATCTGCTTTCCAAATTGCAGTCTGCTGCAAATTCTGAAACTCCGAACTCAACCATCTCTAAAGAGGCCAGCACCCAGTTCTCATCATCTACAAACAGCCAAGGCTATGTTTTACCAGAAGGCAAAATCATTCCAAACACCGTTTTTGTTGGTGGAATTGATGTTAGGGTATTGTATCCGTATTTCATTTGTTTCAAAAAATACATTGTGAGTAATGGGATTTTGGACCTGTTGGAAACATAGGTTTTTTTGTACTCATGCAAGTTTGGAATTGGTTTTATGTTAACCAATAGGGACTAAAACAGGCTTTGACAAAGAGCTACAGGTATTTAGGGGATACTTGAGGGAGATACTTCCACAACATTGTCTTCTTTATAGCATAGTAAAAGTTTTTGAAAGCTAAGTTTTTACTCTTGAAGTCAAATTCTTCTCTATAGATGGATGAAACCAAAATTAGAAGTTTCTTTGCTAGATATGGTTCAATAAAAGAAGTGAAGATAGTCACGGATCGAACTGGTGTGTCCAAAGGGTAAGTAAAACATGCTGAGTATAAATTATAAAAAGTGTGCTATAGCATCCACAGAGTATCAGAGTAGAGTTCAAAACTGATATTCTTACATTTTTATAAATGAAATATGGTGCTTTGTCAGGTTCCTTTATGTAGAGGATAAAAGTTTGTTGCCAACTCTTCTATTTAATAATGTCCCTGATGTTTGTATTTAAATATTTCCTGTCTTCATTTATTGCACGTAAGTGGGTTAGTCAGTTTTATCAATTGTTTTCATCACACATTTCACAGTATTTTAAATTTTAACCATGTTGATGTAGATAATAAATTCAGGGTCTTAGATATGAATTTTCTGTTAATGAATGAGGTTTCCATGCTACCTTACTTCTGACATAGATCAGGATAAGAAAACAAAAAAAATGTGGTAAGATTTATGCAGGATCCATTATGTACATTTTTAAAAATACTTATCTCAGTATATGCTTTATCCTTTATCATTATTCTGTCAGTTATCTCGTTGACTACTAGAAATTTTAGGTCATACTTACAGCAGTGATTTTATACTTATCTTCCCTTTTAGCTATGGATTTGTTTCATTTTATAATGACGTGGATGTCCAGAAGATAGTAGAAGTAAGTAATCTTACGGGAAAATCTCTTAATCACCTTATGTTTAATTAAGTTTAGGTTAGTTTTGTTTTATATTGTTTCAGTCCTGAATTCTTGTATGAAATATTAGAAATATATGTACTTCATGTTTGAAATCCCAAACTTAATCTTACATAGCTTGTCAGAAACGATTTTTATTTGGGCATATCTGGCTTCATGAACTAGAGACAGGACTGGATGGATAGTATGTAAAAGTTTTTTATCATGTTCATGACACCTCTGAACACTTTGACTAGAGTAGTGAGGGTAGATAAGATAGCTTCATGCAGACAAATTTTGATTTGGTGTGGTCACAGTCTGATCTCTGACTGTGGTGATATTAGAATACTAGGTTACCAAAGTTTTATAAGTAAAGGCGTCAAAACTGATTCTGGTTTTGCTGCTGTTTTTATTTTCAGTCACAGATAAATTTCCATGGTAAAAAGCTGAAACTGGGCCCTGCAATCAAGAAACAAAATTCCTGTGAGTAAAGAAAGGAATTGATGCATAGCTTTTCAGAGAACTGAAAATAGCTTTTGTTTTGTTTTTATTCTTTGAAAAGGTGCTTATCATGTGCATCCACGTCCTTTGGTTTTTAATACACCACCACCACCACCACAGTTTCAGTGTGTCTGGAGCAGTCACAACCCTGAAGGTTACATGCAGCCTCCAACCATGATGCATCCTTTAACTCTGTATGTGCAGGTGAGAATTCTCTAGAGTCCTGGCTTTTTATTATAGTTTTGGAGATCTTATAGATGGGGCCTTTTAAAAGTAAGGCTGTCTTATTTCTGACTTCTGTGGGATTATATCCATGATTTCCATAATAAGTGATATATATATGTCCCTGTTTGAATACTTGGAGTGATGGAAACTTACCTCATTTTTTTAGCAACCTGTCATTCTTAGTGTTACTCCTTATACTAAGCTAAAATCTGCTTCCATATACTTGGTAAACTTTTATCTTAGAACTGACCCCTATGGCCACATAGCATATATTTCTTCTTTTTTGCCTGTTGTGACAACTCCTTAAATATTTGAAGGCAGCTTTCCTTATGTGTGGTTTATTCTTTGTTAAGGTTAGCAGTTCTTCTCATTATTCTTTATATTTGCAATGATTTTTAGATACCTCCTCATACAGAGTGCTGGCATCCAGATGTATTCTGGTTCTAGAATGGATAGGTTCCTTATGACTTAACTGTATTTGTAAGTCCTATGAGTTTCTGGCATATAATTTATCTGGTCCCGGTTACTTTAATATTTCAAGTGGGATTTGGAGTATTTAATATCTCCTACTGACGATAACACTTGGTTCATTTTACTTTCTTCAGTTTAAAAGATGTTTGGGAGAATAGAAAGACAAGATAGGTCTACATTGCCTTTCATTTGTTTACATTTTCCATCAACCAGAAGTATAGGATGGTATATATTTTATTTTTTCTGTTCTAAGCATGGCTAGAAGAAAACTCCTATTTGCTCCTAATACTTACTGTGAGCTATTACCTCTTCTGGCTATACTCATGTATGCTACCATGGTAGATGTTTTGATTAAGTAAATATTTATTGAAAGATACAATACATAGTGCAGTCTCATTTCCAATTTTGGGTTATACCCTACCTTAACATTTAGAAGTAAAATACAGAAGGAGCCATAAAATCTACAGAAGGACTACAGATGGATTACACCTGACCCCAATAGTATTGTCAAAAGAATAACAAACTGCCTAAAAGTGTTTATACAAAGAAGTAGCAGGTGTGTCAATGTAACTTTAACATGGAAATCTGTCCTAATAGAGCCTTATCACCAGTGTAAGAAAGAACTTTTAATTGGAGGTAAACAAGATAAACTTAGGTTGGCAAAATCAGTCACTTCCCTCATTTATCTCTTTCTCCTCCCTACCCAAAAGCTAACATTCAAAAGAGAATGCTTTTTTCTTCATGAAGCCAGTCACTCAAATAGAAATCCTGCATGGTATATAGAAAAATAATGAAGATTTATGTTCATATTTTTGTTATATTAGGAATAATATTTCTTCTTCCTAGTCTTTAAAAATTTACCTTGATAATACATTGTTTATGTAAATTTTATTTTCAGGCATATCCTTATGCAAGTTCACCAGTTCAGGTCATCACTGGTTATCAGCTGCCTGTATATAATTATCAGGTAATTTAAGAAGGAACAAAATGATTTACTTTTGAATATTAGTGAAGCCTTTATCTATGTAAATTTCCCCCAGTAGATTGTTATTTAAACTAGATGAGTAGGCTTACATATAAGAAAAAATAAGAATTTGTCTAGAATTATTGGCTGTATATTACTTAAGAATAAGGGAATGATATTTTGACAGGAATATACTTAGCAAGTTTTCTTTTGTACTGTCAAGATTTGGTGTCCTCTCCTATAGTTCCACATGTCTTCCTCCATCCTTGCTGTCAAATAGCTGAAATAATCCAAGCTGAATATGAATTTTGGTGTCCTCTTCTATAGTTCCACATGTCTTCCTCCATCCTTGTTGTCAAATAGCTGAAATAATCCAAGCTGAATATAAATTCGTATCAAATACAACTGGAATTCAATGCTCTAAGATTGGATTGAGCATTGAATTCCAGTTGTATTTGATAATGTTTATATTATCTGGCTACCAAGATAGTAGTTCTCTGAATTTATTCCCATGGAGAGGACTATATGTATGACCCAGGACCATATCTATGGTAATAAGTTCAAAGAACTGCTGTCTCTGAGTTTTCCTGAGAGCCAGCTACAGAAAAAAGAGGAAAAGGTGGCGTTTATATATGAAAATAACAATAAAACCCTCAGGTACTGTAAACATAAAGTACATCTTTCTTCCATTCTTTTTCTTTTATTATAACAAGTTCAAGGAGCCAGCATGACAAATAAATACCTCAAAACTGTCTCCTCTCTGTGTGAAAATATATAGAATATATACATAATAGTTACTTCCTTTTTGTTTTCAAGATGCCACCACAGTGGTCTGCTGGGGAACACAATTGTTATGCTATTCCTCCTCTGGTAAGGTGAATTAACCAAACATATACTTCCCTATTCATTGTTTTAATATTTTCTTGTTTGACTTATATACCTTGACCTTTAGTCATGTGTATGCCTAGAAATATTTTTAAATACCCTTTTACATTATGTGTTAGATTTTCTTAATTTCTTGTCAATGCAAGCATATACTCCTGTGGTTGGAACTGTGCTGTTTCTCATTATTTTAGTGTGCGTAAATGATGGCTGCTCTCCATACAGCATTACTCATGTGCTTGTTGATACATTGCATAATCCAAGAAAAGTGGTATTAATACCTATGCTAATTCTAATCTTAGGAATCTAGAATTGGCATTGAATCTGCCTCTTGGTTTCACGCATAAAAAGTCTGTTGAAGAGAAATAAGGAAATACTTTGCTACTAATAGCTGTTGCATAAGAACAGGATAAGAACAAAAGAGGGTGCTAACTCTTAAAACACTTGAGCCTTTGTTACCTTCTGTCTTTCATCAAGACTGTATCGTTGAAGGATGTAATATGAGTTAAAATTCTTAGGCACTGGGAAATTCCTATTGCCTTGCTACATGTTGGAGTTTACTTTTCTTTGACTCCTTCTGATTCTAATCATGTTGAAGCTTAGAAGACATTTTAAAATAAAAGATTGCTTTACTGCCTTTCAACTAAGTCCACACTGATACTTTCAATATCAGCTCAACATTTTGAAGAATAGATTCCTTAGAAATGTATCTAATGAATATCTCTTTACTCACACTTTTATTTTAAATGTAGACTTCTCCAGCTGTTAACTACTACCACTGTAATGAAGTTGATCCAGGAGCTGAAATTTTGACAAGTGAATGCTCCATTCGTGAAGCTACTGCATCCTCTGGAAATGGCCCACAAAAGGCAAACATCTAATTTTACTTACTAAAATTTATAGCCTCATATTTTTTTCAAGTTTTAGTAATGGCTCTTTATGAAGCAAGCGTGTTTGCCCAAATTTAAACATGGAAGCCATAAATTACAATGCTTAACATTTGATATTTCAGCAATTTATGTAAAAGTTGACAAAATCTCAGTACCTTGAAACTTTCATTGTATACATATAGTTTCTGATTCAGTAATCTTTCCCTTTTCCATTGTCCTTCCATTCAGTAATCTATCCATTTTCATTTTTTTAACCATATTTTCATAAATACTGCATTAACATGATTTGGTAAGATGCAATAGGTGGGTTTCCTTAGGAATCCTACTCCACAAAAGTATGAATCAATTGTGTTTAACCAATTCAAACATTTACTAGCTAAATTATAATACATAATTATAGTATTCTTATCATAACATTTGGTGGCTGTCAAGAGCGGTGGAGTCCTTAGTAATAACTGAAATACTGAAATAGAGTTGTTTCTCTATTATCTCTAGATCAGATTCCTGTAATAATGCTGTCACTCTTGAATTCTATTTTGAATGAGTGGGAATGTAGAAGTAGTTGATATGATGGTGAAATCACAACATAATGTTGAAGATTCCCATTGCAGTGTGTGAACTTCATCCGTTTGTTTCTCAGGGGGAGAAATGCTGAGAACTCTGAACTATAGGATGTTCAGAACTACGGAACAATTCCCTGATTTGATACATGAATTAAAATTTGAAAAAATATTAAATTAGTGCACAGAGGTTTTATCCTGGATATTTTTTCTTGAAATGCTGAAGTTCATTGTTTCTTACCTAAGAGGAAAAAATTAAAGAATGGAAGGGAATATCTTAGGGTTTTACTAAATTGAGCATTTTCAACCAGTGGTCTATCACTAAGACTAAGATTGCACACTGTTTCTTCAATATCATAGAGAAGTTACATATGAAGTGTATGGTAAGAATTATGAATTACATAAAAATTCTTTAACAAGAAGTGTGTGCATTCAATAATCTATTTTAAAATGTTTAGTAGTAAAAGGAATAATCTTTATATTACTGAAAACTTCTGTTTCAGAAATCTGTGGACCAAAGCGTACAGACGGTGGTATCTTGTATATTTAATCCATAGAACAGACTGAGAAACTCACTTGTTACTCAAGATGACTACTTCAAGGTATGAAAGGAATAGTATACATGATAAAATTCACATTTGTCAGCTATGAATTGTCTTTTTTCCTATAGTATATTTAGTTTGAATTCATGTAGATCATTTAATTGAACTCTTGGCATTTGACTGTAACCCAGTAAACCATTGTGAGAGAGTTTTACCTGGCAGTGTATTTTATGTTGCTAAAACTTCGATATAGTAGAGTTTGTCCTTGGGAAAGAAACCTTTAGCAGAAGCTGACAATTGGAAAGGTTCCTGAAAGAGGAGAGTTGAAAGAGAATATTGGCTTGACCAAATACAAAAAGAAAATTTTAGATAACCGAAAGCAGAACTTAAGAGTACATGGATATTGGACAAAAGAGAAGAAAAGAAATTGATCACTGAAATGACATACCTGAACAATGCTGGGAGAGAAGAGATCATGTGAAACAGTAAAAGGAGCTGAGTAGAAAGAAATGGAAGTTGATTCAGAGTTGGTAAAGTGGAAGAGAATGTGAGTGTTTGAATTTAAGTCCTGCTGTCTGGTCCTGGTTCTGTCACCTCAGACAAATCACTTAAATCTTACTAGGACTCCAGTTTTTATAAGTCTAAGATGAGGAAACATAGGACTAAAGATTTTTAAGATCCCTTAGTTCTGAGTCTGTAAATATGGAAAGGAACTGACTGGACTCTCCATGGGGAGAAGAGGATTTTTAAAATTTTTTTGTAACAGTTTAATTGATACAAAACTCACATACTATACAGTTTGCCCTTTTAGAATGTACAATTCAGTACTTTTAGTATATTAACACAGAGTTGTACACCATGGGTCACAATCAATTTCATAATATTAAATCACTCCCCAAAGAAAGCCCCCTACCCATTTTCAGTCACTCTACATCTTCCCCACAACTCATCTATCACACCTACTTTATTTAGAGGAATTCCCTATTCTGGTTATTTCCTATAAGTAGAATAATACGAAATGTGACTGGGTTCTTTCACTGGTATAATGTTTTCAAGGTTCATCTATGTTAGAGCATGTTTCACTACTTCATTTCCTTTTCCTTATTGATATACCACATTTTGCTTATCCATTCTTCACTTGATAGACTTTTGGGTTGTTTCTTTCTTGCCTCTGTTGAGTAATGCTGTTAACGTTTTGAGGAACTGACAGAAGTTTTCCAAAATGACAGCACCATTTTCCATTCAGTGGGAAATTTTCAACCATTGCTGGGTGTCTTAAAGGAGAATAGCTTTTTTCCAATCAATGAATTTATGTAGGATGAAGTTTACAGCCTTTTTAAAGGGCAGTGTAAGGGTTTTATAAATGCAGAAGGGGAGAGCTGTTAACAGGATCAAGTCCTCAACCATCTTCACAACAGAGAGCATAAACTTACTCATTTAAAGTTGACATTTGTTCTCTGGCTGTTTCATCCTGTATAGACAGTAAAATTTACAATGAAAGAACTGGGGCTATATGACAGCTTACCTTGCCCAGAGTTTTCAAGATTAAATAGATAGTACTTAAATGACACAGTCTTTAAACTTGAGTTTTCACCTGGTATTAAACAAAAGTCTCCCTTTACACCTTCCACAATTTAGTGCTACTCTGGGCTATGAGTCAAAGGTTGGTAGTTTGCAGATGTCTGGCATCTAGACCTATTTTGATAAGCTAAATGTTGTTGTTTTCATTGAAATTGAATGCATTGAGGTAGGATATACATAGTAAATTTTACTCTGTTGTCCTAATTCCTTCAAAATCTTTGATATCATGACCTGACCTCTGAAGGTTTTTGAGTTTGTGACCCAATTTTCAGGGCTTTAACCCAAATAGGATATGACCCTGTTGCAGATGACATAATTTCCTGATATCACCTTCCTTTATATGACAAACTGAACTAAATTACTAGGAAAATGACTAAACACAGACAGCTAAAAATGTAGCTGAGTAAGTAGAGGAGATAGTATTAGGTTACTATTAGTTTAGTGAGCTCTGTTCCTCTTTGTAATGCCTCACCTCCCTCCATCTGCCCATCTGCCAGCAGCGTGAAGTCCAGGCATATCCAGCATAAATATCCAGGGTAAAACTTGTTAATTATGGATGGGACAGTTATGAATAGGTTGTTTATTTTTCTCTTTATTTCCTAAAGAATAATTGATCATCATCACAGGATAAGGATATGCCTTAAAGTGCGCCCAAACTTCTATTTTTTAACCTAAAAACCTGGGATTTCAGTTTGAAGTGGAGTGCTATTCTCAAGCCATGGGGTCTCCCTATGCACTTCTTTTAGTGAAAACAGTACTTTTTAAAATTAAGTTAAGGAATGCTTCCAAAAAAGGATCACTTTTCTCTCATTATTTATAGTTTTTAATACTAAAATAAATGCTTTAAGTACTTTGCAACTCTTAGGTCATAGTGATATTAGGAAATTTTCAATGAAGTATAAAGAACTGTTTCTGTCTTTTCTAGGATAAAAGAGTGCATTACTTTAGAAGAAGTTGGGCAGTGCTTAAAGCTGATCGATTCTGCTAACTTTCAAGTCTCATTGGAAGTTGTTGGTTTTGAATATTAAGAGACTGAAAGTTGTTCACTATTATATAAATTTAATGCTGGATTTGTATAAATTGCACTCAGACTTTGTACATAAGTTATATTAGATGGCCTAGTTTTACTTTACACTGAAACTGTTTTTCATTAGATGTTTATTTAGAAATGTTCTGTGTTGAATATATAGTTGAAAGTAAAAAGTAATAAAGACCGAAAGGAGTAACTTATGATATATTTGTAAGGAATTTTTTAAACAGAAGTCAAAATTTTAAGAGTTTGAAAGTAAATGCTGATTTTCAAAAAATTGTTTTAAAAACCCTACTATTTTGAAAGGTCAGAATTTTGATAGTTTGAACACAGGCATTTCATTTCTCCAACAAGTAAATAGTGAACATTACAATATTTACATGCCTAACAATTGTACTTTACTATTTGTCTAGAAATTTACCACAAAAGCAAGAGTTTTTAAAACTACATTTTTAATCAGTGGAACTCAACATAGTTAACTTTATTGACATCTTCCTTATATAAACCCAGTAAGACAGATGCTAAACAAAACAGTCCAATCAGTGGGTTTTATGTTTATTCAAAATATTTATCTTTTATCTGGAATCCACACACATAGATATGCTATTTGATTGGGATGGCAATTAGGATAACTAAAATTCTCGGCCTAATTTTTTTTTAATACAAGACAAACTAAATTTTACTAGGAACATAAGCTTCCCAGTGAGTTAACATTCTTTTTTTTCTTTTTTCCTTGAAATGCTAAACTCGGTGGCTGTATCTAAAATTGTACTAAATGTTAGTATTAAAGAATGCTGAAATTCTTTTTATGACACTTGATGGTTAATCAGAGTATCTGAAAATTTTTTTATAAAAAGATGAAAATATTAGTTACTTGTTAAAGAGGAAATAGATTTTTATTTTATTAGCCTATCATATTCCCTTTGTTAAAGTAAAATATGTCCAGGAGAGTCAAAGTAATTTTGACATTTCTAAACAAAAGTTGTTTAGTAAGCCTATCCGAAGAATTTACTAGAGTCAGAGTTAAAAACCCATTTCTAGATTAGCTAGTCTCCCTGTTGTTAGACATTGTATCTTCACAAGCAGCCAGAGCACCAGAGCCGTGTTTGCTGTACCCACTGTCTTGCTTTTCCAGCCAGTACCCTGTTCTCGCCGAGGTTCCTAGAACAGGTGATGTGAAGAGGAGAAGTAGCAGTATGAGCAGTCTGAGGACTCAGCCCTGGAAAGGTGGCAGTAGGGTGGGTAATCCTTTCTAAGGGAAACCCTTGTATCACATCATATGACTTGCCGCAGACATGAGTTTAAAGTGGCTGCCTAGCCTTCTTTACATTGGCCCCTTTGCTACCACATGGAGACACCATTTACCTTACTTAGCCTATTGCAGTTACCATAGGCCTTCTCATCAGGGCCTCTTGTTGTCTTAGTCTGAACAGTTTTCATTCTGAATCTGAAGAGGCTTTTAACTTAAGGATCCCCAAGAGGGCTTACTTAGGCCTCAGAATTGAAAGTGCCTTGAAATTTGTCCTTTTAAGAATTCTCTGTTCTTTTTGTGTGTGTGTATCATGCTGTGATTAAATCTCTAGATTACTACAGATGATACCAAAGTCTAAGGAGCCAATACAAATTATCCCAGTATGCCCTTAAGGAAAGTAGGGGAATAAAGTTTGTATCTGTCTGCTGTTTTGTTGGACTGAAGTATTTAAAAGAGTAAGGTAGAAAGACAACACAAAGTCCTGAACTTTTCAAAATGGAAAATTAATTTTATAGTTAGAAGTAAGTTCATATTACCTATTGCTGAAACTGTCTTTGCATAAATGAATAAAAAGAAATAAACTTCTTTTTCCCAAAAGAGTTTTGGACTTACTTATTCACCCCATATTACCTTAAGAAATGGTGAGTTGGGTGGGTAGTATGTGAACAGGGGTTTAGACCCTTCAAATTCAAAAGTGTAAATATTGTTCAGTTTTTTATCCTGGTAGATTTCGTGTATAAATGCAAATTTTGGGATGTTGTATTACTTACGAAGAGAGATTTTCATAAGAAACGTACCATTTTTTTCTTGAGTTGTAAATGATTATCTGTGACTTCCAGTGCTGTGCATCAGCAGAGCAGTACCTACTGGGTATGCTGGAGCATCATATATGACTGTGGTCTCATGGCCGAGGCCCTCTCATTTTGGACTCCATAAACTCCATTTTGTTTACTGCACACTTTGCGCCTAATCTCTGTGACCTTTTTACTTGAGGATATTGAAGTTGTCAATAATAGAGCAAAGATTTTCTTGTTTGTTTGCTTAAGTGAGGATGCATCCAGAGATCATTACACACCACCTCTTCCTGTCCTACTTGGAATATTTCCAGTTCCAGAGGCTGAAGCCATAGGAAATGCCCCCTTTGGATGCTCTTATACTCTATTTCATGACTGACTCATTACCAACAAATTTTGATATTCAGGTTCTGCAAGATAAAAAAGAGTGCCTTCTGAATCATTAGAGATACATTTTGATGTTTATAATTGCTAAGATTAGTAATCCTTGAATTTTCCATGAGTGTGTATGTATATGCTCATACATATCTACTAATCCAGAAATTTTAAACCCTGACCACGCTAAATAAGGTTCTACTTGAGACCCTAAAACAGCTACATATATCTTAAAACAGTTGCTTTAAACCTATTCATATTTCAGGTATATTTTCTGTTGAGAATTACCACAAAATTCTCAAAACAAAACCAGGTATTCAGGATTGAAAAAATTTCAGCACTTTTTTTGTAAAATGTTGCACATTTGGTCAAAATCAAGTAACTCCAAAAAGGCTGGTAACCCTTGTAGGAAGTGTACCCTTCATGCCTTTTTTTTTTTTGGACTAAGTACATGTTACCTTTGTCATGGTTAAATAATTATTCAATGTTGTTTAGCACCCTTAAACTGCAAGGAAGTAATTTCAAAAATAAAATACTCCACAGCAGTTCCCTATAGTTTCAAAGCCTGCTACCCTCATTTCTAAAATTCTCTTTATTTTTTTTAAGGTAAACTCATAAAAATGGGCTGACACATTGCTTAATTGTCCTCCCTGCTTTCGTTGCTGCCATTTGAGGGTAATAGAGAGCAGCAGCGATACAGCAGCATGCCACTCTGATTCCACAAAGATGGCATTAGAGAGGGTGGGGAACTCTAAGGGGGAGAAAAGCAGCAATGTTTTCCATTTGCAAGTCTTGCAAATAGGCCCCGCTGTCGAATATGATCATTTGGAATCCCTGAAACACTTCTAGATGAGGATTGCTTCTGTACATATATTGGTAAGTGTAACCTAGCCTTTCCCAACATGATGGATAATATGTGTCTCTGTGTGTGACTGAATCTTTTTGAGCAGTTCTTCACCACCCATCATCAAATACTGAGTTTCCTAACTGTAGATAGTACATTTGGTGGTAGAAGACAATAAACGTAAGAAGTTCAAACTATAAATGTGATTTTGAATGCTCATACAAAATATTCAATTGCATAGCAAAGAAATGATAGGTAATTCCAAATCATATTTAGAGTTGAAAACATCTCTCCAATATAGCTGTAGCTGTGGGCCAATCTCAAGAAAATGCAAAAAATTGTCTTAATGCAGAAGTTGAAACCCACTGTACAATTTATCTCTACAGAAGCTATGTTTTATGATTTTAACTGTTCTGAAATAGAAAGTGTTCCAGTTGAGTCCATAGTTTGTTTTCTCAATGCACGTGAAGACTTTGTATATTATGTGCATCTCCACTGAGGCTGTACCAGGAATATACCTCTTCCCACATTTAAAATTCTTGATACCAATCAGTTCACTAGGTTAACATTAGAACAAATGAATGACTAGGATATTGGAGTCATGAAAGCTCTCTACAAATTTGAAACAGTAGCAGTATTTCAAGCAGTTCAAGTTGGAGGTTTTATAATCCTTATTTGTTTTTCTCTTTTAACAGAAAAATCTAGCAAAATACATTATGATTCTATCTACATCTATTGTCTTTTACCAAAATAAAATGAATAGAGACATATTCTCACCCAATCGTGGATAAAACTGTTTACCAAAGAAGAACGTAGGGCTGACAGTCAACTGATCTGCACTGGTACAGCCAGATTAGTGGTTCACAGAGGGCTGTTCCCCTCTGCCCTTGCACACTAGATAAAAATACTTAATATTATTAATACTGCCAACTATTCTGAGTGCCTTCCCCCGTGTTCACATCACCCCTGCCCACACCCACTGAATAAATCTTAGTGGACCAGTGGGAATGAATAGCCGAAATTGAAACACAGAGGCCATTTCCTCTTTGCTTTTATCTAAGCTGATTCCCTACATAGTGCTTGGACCTGCTTACAGTGTGAGTAAATCTGAAACAGTATTTAACAGTACAATTGCTAAATGAGAAAATTTTAACTCTACATTTTTTTTTCTGAACTTGACTTGGTTCTCTTAATTCTGGTCAGTGGTTTGTCCATTCTTAACCAATATGTATATACTCCCCAACCAAGCTTATATCCAGGATTACATCAGCCCTGCATTGATAGGACAAGTTTTCTCAATGGTACCAGCCCACAGAGAAACCCGAGACCATCAGAACCATCATCTGGGGTTTCTTTTAGAGGTGCATATTCTTGGGCACCATTCTCAGATTGCTCTTACTCTGTAGCCCTGGGTGGACTCAGTAATCTATGTTTTTAACAGGTCCCTCAGGGGATTCTGACCTGTTCAACACTTATAAAAAAAAATACTTCCCAAGATGGGGATGTCTCAGTTTATCATCTCAGGCTACCTCTTTTTCTGGGATAGCTGTATTTGGAGAAAAAGCCTGTTGAGCTCATTTTGACTCCTTCATAAGGGATTTCTTTGGCTTAACTCATCTTTCTCTGCCAAGCTTGTATCCTGGAGTGCCAGCTGTCCACAGGCAAGGGTAACTCATGAACAGGCTGAAATAGA